TGTAAAGGTGTTTCAGGTCTTTGAATTTATTCTTAGATACTTTGTATATTTATAATGTTGTACAAGAGTATTTTCCCTTATAATCTTTATGCCTTATTTCCTTTTCTTGCCTTGCTGAGCTGGCTGGGACTTCTGGTGGTGTTGAATAAAAGTGGTGGTGTAGGGGGCATCCTGGTTTTACTCCTGATCTCAAAAAGAATGTTTTCTGTGTTACCATTAAGCATGTTTACCGTGGGTTTTTTTGTAGATGCATCTTAATAGATAAGGAAATTCTCTTACATTCTTAGTCTGCACGGAATGTTTTTAAAATTGTGAATGGATATTAAATTTTGTCATATGCTTTTTCTGCATCTATTGAGATAAACAGATTAAGAGAACAATAGGTGGTAAATTTTATTAACTAAATTTTCTAATGTTAAATGATCTCGTATTCCTGTGATAAAGTCAACTTAATTGTATTTTATTATCCTTTAAAAATAGCATTAGATTCTGTTTGGTCATATTATTTAGGATGTTTGCATTTTCGTTCCTGAGAAGAAAATTGTAGGGAATTTCATTCTGTTACCAATTTCTTATGGGGCTGGGGGCTGGGGTAACAATTCTTATCCTGCCCTGATGGGGTTTGGTATCAGGGTAAGTTGGCTACATTAGATAGTGGGAGAGTGCTCCCTCTTCTTCTTTTCTAGAAGAGTTTGCGTCAGATTGGAATTATTCTTTCCTTGAAGTTTGGTGGAACTAACCAGGGAAGCTCCCCAGCCTGGAGGTTTGTTTGATGTGTGTGTGTGTGTGTATTGGGGGAGGACACTTTTCACCAGTGATTTGATTTCTTTAATGTTTACAGGATTATTCAAGTTTTCTATTTCTTCTTGAATCATATTTTTGTTATATTTTTTTCAAGGCATTTATCTATGTAGTTTACATTTTCAAATATATTGACTCAAATTGATGACAACATCCTCTTACCCATGAATCTTATCCAAAGATAATGATGTCCCATTTCCATATCTGACAGCTCCCTCTCCCTATTGGATCTCCCCCCACCCATCAGTCTTTCAGACGTTTGTCAGGTTTATTAGTCTTCTCCAAGAACAGACTGTTAGCTTTGTTGATCCTCTCTAGTGTATCTGTGTTTTTCTTTTCTGTTTTATTCTTTTTTTTTCCTATTTACTTCCTTCTTTATATTTCCTTTGGGTTGTTTTTCTGTTACTTTTCTAACTTCTTAATGATGGGTGTTTAGCTCCTTAATTGCACCTGTCTTATTTACTAGTATGCATTCTATAAGATTATACACGTCCCTGGGCCGACCCTGTGGCTTAGCGGTTAAGTGCGTGCGCTCCGCAGCTGGCGGCCGGGGTTCGGATCCCGGGCGCGCGCCAACGCACTGCTTCTCCCGCCATGCTGGGGCCGCGTCCCACATACAGCAACTAGAAGAATGTGCAACTATGACATACAACTATCTACTGGGGCTTTGGGGGAATAAATAAATAAAATTAT